AAACAATATTTAAATTCTCTTTACCAATTTAATGAAGACTTTTCGAATTTATTTCGTAATTTCATTTTTTTCATAATTTCAACATTTAAACATTGTAATAATAATTTTATATTAAAGCCAAATCTCAAGAAAATAAAGAAGAAGAAAACAATATTTAAATTCTCTTTACCAATTTAATGAAGACTTTTCGAATTTATTTCGTAATTTCATTTTTTTTCATAATTTCAACATTTAAACATTGTAATAATAAATTTTATATGAAAGCCAAATCACAAGAAAATAAAGAAGACGAAAACAATATTTAACTTCTTTTTACCAATATAATGAAGACTTTTCGAATTTATTTCGTAATTTCAATTTTTTTTCATAATTTCAAAATTTAAACATTTATTATTACAATTTTATATGAAAGCCAAATCACAAGAAAATAAAGAAGACGAAAACAATATTTAACTTCTTTTTACCAATTGAATGAATTCGAATCCGAATTCGTTTCGTAATTTCATTTTTTCAATATTATTTTTAAGCTTCATTTATTTTTATTTTTTGTACATTTAAGTTCAATAGGTTTTTTTGATTTGATTTTTTTGATTCTTTATATATAATATTTGAATTTGAATATTTCACGTTCATTATTGAGCACATTTTATTATTTTATTTATATTTTATATGGGTTTTTCAATTAATTTAACTTGTATGATTACTTTTTCTCCTCATTACATTTTTTGGTATATTGAATTATTTTCGAACTTTATTTTCCGCAATTCTATTCTATGATTTTTCGATTTTATTTTAAATAAATATAATTACATAAAATTGCCCCAACAAGATAATATTTTTATTTTGAAGTAAATTTGTTTTACCTTACAGTTTTTATTTTAAATTTTTCTTTTTATGCAGTATTTGTGTAAAAGATATAATTTTTTTGTTTTGATATAATAAAGAATATTTGTTAAGGGTTTTTAATGGAAGGAATAGCTTTTTAACGAATAACTCATTAATCAATCAATTAATCAATCAAACGCCACCAGTTCGTACTTAAGGAAGAAAACAAGCTTGAGAATTACAAATTGATTTGTAAAAACTATGAACTATGTCTGATGGCTAAAAATTTGTAATTAAATAATTTTTGCATCAATTAAATAATAACATTATAGTCCGCATAGCCAAGCAATGCCAGCATTTTAGAAACATAATTTGTTTTCAGTGTGGAACGCATCTACAAATTTGTTCAACAATTTATGGTTTTCTATTTAGTTGGCGACGCAAAGTTATGCAAAGCCCAATCAATTTCATAAATACACAACTAAAGTGAGTGAAGACTAAAAGAGGAATTGGGTTACTTTCGAACTAATTTAGGGTCTTAGGTTACGCCAAAGCCACAGTCAGAGCCAAATTCAGACCCAGGCGGATGCACACGCTGGGCCATAGAACCTCAGCAGCCACGGCAGCCCACGCCATCACCATCACCAACTCAGGCCTCTAAACTGGTTATTGCCAAAAAAAAATAAAAATAAAAAAACGAAAAAAAAAGTAAGACAAGCAGACAAAAACTACACGCCTCGGCAATGAATGAGCCCAAAGCGTGGCTCTGACTGAATGAATTCTTCACAGTCTCAGCCTCCGATGTGGCCAAATGACAGCATACGTGTGCCCAAAACAATATACAAACATATAAGGTATATATGAGTATATATATATTTCTGTATACGTATTAAAAAAAATCAAAACTCAAATAAATTTGAAACGCTTGGACCGCTGCTTGCGTGGGCGTGCTGGCTTATTAATTTTTTAAAAGCTGCACAAAATTATTATTAAAATTTATTTGCGCTGCCCATAAATATCATTGGGCGCCAGTCACAAAAAAAAAAAACAAATATGTATATAAATAAATAGATAAACAAAATTAATGAGTCACGGCCTTCGCTCACTGCGCTAAGCTCGATTTATAAAGCGGGAAAAATATATATATAAAACATAGTTTATTTTAGTTAGGGCTCTCTTATTGAATTTCATTAAAGTAGCTTCTTATTTATCGAAAACTTGTGAAATCAGAATCGTTTGTATGCAAATGTTTTGCCCGTGTGACCAAACCTAAGTAGTTTTTGTTTTGTATAAGCAATTTATATTTCATAATACCAACAAATTTAGACAAGACAAAATTTGTCAAATTTTGGCATTGACAATTCCAGAACTTCAAAAAAAAAACCACTTCGACCGTTTTTATTTTTAAAGTTAAGAATTCTTCTATTGAGAATTTTTTGTATTAATTACATTTTTTGTCTAATACTTATTTTTGATTATAAATCTATTCTTTTTCGAAATCTCTTGAGGCACATCCTTCGTTGCATTATTTGGAAAACTGGTATGCTCTGTTTCGCTGATGAGGCTGCCAACTCATAGTAAAGCCAGCTCGTATTTTGCTTTTAAAATTAAAAATGCTTCTGCTAAGAATTTTTTTATAAATAAAATTTTTAGTCTAATTATAGATCTCGGCTTTTTTGTTACTATTTTTATTGTAAATCTACTTATTTTCGGAATCTCTTATTTTAAGAATTGAAATGATCTTTTTCGCTGATGGGGCTGCCAACTAATAGTAAAGCCATCCGATTACTTTCACGTTTTGTTAATTATAGTTCGTTAGCAATCTGCTCTACTAATTTTCAAATAAAACTTTCCGTTCTAGTCATTTGATACCTACTGCTATCTTTTATAATATTTGCTATTTGCATTAAAAATATCAATAAATACAATATTTAAAAAATACTGTCATTAATTCAGAATAACGTATTACTTATTCTCCGACCCACCATTCTCTAGTTCATCTGTGTTGTTGAATTTTTTGAATTCGATTGAGTCTCTCCTTAAAGGTCAACTCTGTGCTGCCTTGGCTCACTAACCGCCGTAGCGAGAGAGCCATAACCACTATATGCAGCAATCGCATCAATTGGTTGGGGTGTGGCAACAGAAACTATATAAATTTGATTTATGTACACAGATATTTCTAATAATGGCCAGTTGGAGTCGCCACAGAACAACTTTGAACTGCCCACACAAATTCGCAAAAACTTAGACACATATACTCGTATAAGTAGAAATCTAGAGATGTGAAAATATTGCCAATTGAGAATTCAAGTTGGATATTACACAGAAATATACATTTAATTATAAACAAATATTAAACAATAAAAATGCTCTAATATATGTAGAAAACATATATACAAGTATGTATTTGGATTCAATTTTACATTCCCCAGTTGTTGAATATTCCTAGAAGACTGGAACTGAAGTGCAAACAGGCTTGGAGAAATATAACAAATAATATAGGAGAAAACGAGATAGTAGGAGACTTCATAAAACTGAAAGAACGACTTAAAGAGATTTTCAATGAATGAAGGCATATAATGAAGGATGTTAGCGGAAATTCCCTCCATTATAATAAATGATTGCAAGTAATACTATATTCAGCATTATATACTCAATTCTAATTCCGGCATACCCTGATGTATTCAACACAAATAAAATTCGTACATGTTCTATAAATTGCTTAAAGATTGTTAACCAAAGCCTAAGATTTATTGATAACTTGAGGCCTTGGTATAAAAAAAAATTATTTTTAAGAAAATAACCGACAGATGCCAACTTAATAAGCATTGAACTCAAAACACATCATGAAAGTTGGCATGACCAGTCCTTCTTATTCGAAGAGTTGCTCAAATTCTCGAAATTCTCTCTTTTTCCATTAGTTAACAATCAAATAATAGTCAAGTTCCTAATTAAAACTGCAAACAAAGCTTTATTTTTATTTATGTCGTCATAGTTTGCGAATTATAAAAAATATCCCATTCCATTTCACGTGGCAGTAGAAGGTTTATAGCCAAAGCGTTGTGCAGCACTTTTTAGTTTAGAATCTTTTCCAACACCTTTAAAACGTATTTAAGCGTGTGCCCTTCTGGGGAACAATCATTCGCCAAACATTTGTCCTGGCGTTCGCATCTAATTTTCTTATTTCTTTTTTTGCTTAAAATAATTTTTTAAGTTGGGAAATTATTTCCAAAGTTTTAGTTATTATTAATAATTTTTTGTTATCAAGAAGAGCTTACTTTTGTTTTGCAAAATGCAATATGATTTTACAATTTCATTTCTCTGGACTTTAAAGCCTAAGCATGTCTAAATCTGACGCTCCCAATGAAATGAATTTTATATATTTTTTTATCAAATTAAGCTTATTTTTGTTTTGCGAAATGCAATATTATTTTACAATTTTATTTCTCTGGACTTTAAAGCCTAAGCATGTCTAAATCTGAACGCTCCCAATGAAATGAATTTTATATATTTTTTTTTTATCAATTAAAGCTTATTTTTGTTTTGCAAAATGCAATATTATTTTACAATTTCATTTCCCAAATATTGCAACCTAAAACTTAATAAATGGACTTTAAAGCCTAAGCATTTCTAAATCTGAACGCTTCCAATGAAATGAATTTTATATTTATATACTATATATCCCAAGTATTACAACCTAAAACTTAATAAATGTACACATCAATAATTCATCAAATAGCTAAATAAACATAGAAATATATATGATATAATTAGATGCGCTTATAAAGGTAGAATTATTAAAATAACATCCGATCTCCTACATTTTGGAAAGAGACAAACAAACAAACAATCAAATCGTTCCTCTTTATAATATTGGTATTTTTTTTGCCGTATCCTCATAAGGCCTTGATATATCGTTTTTGCATTGTGTTTCCGCGTTCCAACTGTTCCTTCTAAAGTTCCCTACTGCATCATTAAGGTAAATTTTATTTCAATTTCAAGAATGTTTTTTTTCTTGTTGGTTTTTTTAAATTTTTGAATATTATTAATTTAATGTCAGTCGGTGCTTCCGAAACGATTATTATTAATTCCAATTCCATTCATCTTTCCTATTGCAGACAACATTTTTATAGAAAAGGTCTCTAGGTGAAGTATAAAACTAGAAACCAATGGAAATGTCACACAAGACGAGCAACTGCCGCGCCACCGAGCTGGAGTGTCCGCTCGCCTCACTGGGCCGCAACAGCAACGCAGTGCGGGATCAGCTGACAGCGGCCCATTACCATCATCCCCATCCGCTTAGCTCGAGTCCACTGGACCCCCAAGCCTATAAAATGTCACGCAAATCGCCAAATTTGAGTCTCGTTGATGCCAATGATGCCGTCGACGCCGGCATGGAGCTCTACCCGCTGGCCTCGCGCAGCTCCTCGCCACACAGCGATCGGGCGTCCAGTACTCCAGCCGCCGCAGCGGCGGCAGTGCTCCACATGGTCCAACAAAAGGCAGCCACCTTTGAGTTGCGAGGGCGCCACACGCGACCCGAGCAGGCCATCTATGGTGCCCATTCCACCGCCTCGGTAGGACGGCAGGCGAAGAAACCACCACCAGAGCAGCCCAAGCCAATGACTCGCACCACAGGACACCCTGTGCCGCATCCGCGAAACTTCCTCACTCTCGAACACGTCCTACAGTATGGCGCCCAGCGTCCCAGCTGGGTGCCCGGCAATACCGCCGACACCGAGGACTCGAGTGACAATAATGCCAGCGGCGGAGGCTGTGGCCTGAGGAGCACCGCGCGCAGACATCAAGGAGGTCGCTGCAGTGTTCCGACGGTCCTAGGTAATGGCAATGGGGGCGGTAGTAGTGGGAATGGTGCACAGTATTTGCTAGACAAGAAAATGGAGTCTCTTTATCTGGGAAACGCATTACGTGGTCTGCCACTGGGCGCCGAGGCGAGTCAGTACCAGAACGAGCGCTACTACTTAGAGGACTATAGCAGCGGAAACGAACGCATGCCAGGTAAGCAGAAAACTAATATTGGAACGGTGGAAATGAGTCACAGTTTTTAGATGCGCATATTAAAATGAATGTTACGGTTTTGTTAAGAAACTGTGCCACTTTTTAAAGTAACAAAAGAATAGGTAAACTTTTAGAGGCATATACATGTTACCATTTAAATCAAAATCTAAAATGGAACAGTGGAATTGTTTCTACTAATTGACTTTTTCTTTTTTGACTTCCCAATTTCCACAGCCGGCTCCATTTGGGTCAAAGTAGAGGCATATACATGTTACCATTTAAATCAAAATCTAAAATGGAACAGTGGAATTGTGTCTATTATTTGACTTTTTCTTTCCAATTTCCACAGCCGGCTCCATTTGTGTCAAAATAGTAGCGCATAGGTATTAAGCAGCGACAGAAACTGTAAAATTGAAACATGGTTTAATTATTTGCATTGTTTTTATTAAGTTTGTGACATTTCCAAACCCTTTTTAAAGTAGGTTCTAACCATTTAATTGAGAAACCTTAACAATTATTTCAGTGTAGGAATAAATTAAAACATGATTTCTTCAGACATGTTGAATTAGAATAAACGAAAACTTCTTCTTCTAGGCAAGACAATAGGAAAAGTATTGCAACACTTCCAAATAAAAGATAGTTAATAAATACATAACAATATCTACACAGATTGTTGAAATCTTCAATTTCATAAAACGAAATCCAAAGAACAAAATATATCTGAAATTTGTGAATTGGCTTTTCGGATTAGGCTTTATGTGCGGTGTATTTCTTAAACATGACTTTACTTTCATTTACCCTTACCTTGTCCCTTTTCTCTCACACAGAACGTCGTCATCATCCGCACAACTCGAGTCCCAGCGAAACGAGTGGATCGGATCGATATCTGCTCAATCGGAGCACGAATTCGCCATCGAATGCCTTCAGTTCTCTGAACCAATTGGACAACTTCTCGAGCTCCACAAATGCCAACACATCGTCCTCGTCGAATCTGGCGCTGGACCAACGCTATCACCACACCAAAGTGCAAAGCCTCTCCGACGGTCTGTGCAATCTGGGTCGATTCTCGCCCAGTCTGGATCAGGGTTATGCCACCTTGGTCTCGCCATCACCCACCGGCCATCATTCCTCCAGCGCAGGCGCCACCTCCGCCAGCGCGCAGCCAACCACCTCTGTCTCGGCCACAACAATAACCACACACGGTCTCGTCCATCATGTCCCGACCACACTGAAGGCCAATGCCACCAGCACACCCGCAACCACACCCCGTCGCAGCGGCGGAGGTGGCGGCGCTACCAGCACCGCTATTGGACCGCCACCCTGGAATCGCAAAGGACCTCTGCGCTGTGGACCCTACTTCGAGCGTTTGTCGGACGACAGCATTGTCCGCATCTTCAGCTGGCTGGACAGCTGTGAACTCTGCACGGTGGCCCGTGTGTGTCGCCGCTTTGAGCAGCTGGCCTGGCGGCCCGTCCTCTGGAAATGCATCACCTTGCGAGGCGATCACTTGAGTGGCGATAAAACCCTGAAGATGATCTTCCGCCAGCTGTGCGGCCAAAGCTCTAATGGAGCCTGTCCGGAAGTCCAGCGTGTAATGCTCGCCGATGGTTGTCGCATCTCGGACAAGGGATTGCAGCTGCTCTCCCGTCGCTGTCCAGAACTCACACATCTGCAACTGCAGGCCTGTGTGGAGGTCAGCAATCCGGCATTGGTGGAGGCCCTGACGAAGTGCAGCAATCTCCAGCATTTGGATGTGACGGGTAGGTGGTTGGAGAATATGTTTAACTCTAAATAATAAAGCAAGCTAAACTAAAATGAATAATAAGATCTGAGCATTCGTATAAAAAAGCTATTCGAAGAATTTGTTTTCGGTCAGTCAGACAAATTATTTGCACGCAAATTTTCGAATTAATAAGCTCTTTCGAATTTTGTTGCAATGGTGGGTAGGTGGTTGGAGAATATGTTTAACTCTAAATAATAAAGCAAGCTAAACTTAAATGAATAATAAGATCTGAGCATTCGTATAAAAAAGTTAAAAAAGTGGTCAGACAGACAAATTATTTGCACGCAAATTTTCGAATTCATTTTTAATAAGCTCTTTCGAATTTTGTTGCAATGATTTCACGAATTTGTACGCAAATTATTTGCCTGTCAGACCGAAAACAAATTCTTCGAATAATGTTATTCTTTCTATGTGTATCAATAATTAATAATATTTTTTGATCCATCCGAATTTCAGGTTGCAATCAAGTTACCTGCATCAGTCCGAATCCCAATGTAGAGCCACCACGTCGCCTGCTGCTGCAATATCTGGATCTGACCGATTGTCTGGCCATGAACGACATGGGTCTGAAGATTGTGGTCAAGAATTGTCCACAGCTGGTGTATCTATATCTGCGACGCTGCATACAAATTACAGGTAGAGTTGCAGTTATTCTCCACCAATTACCTTAAATACATATTTATATTGTTTTCTTTCTCTCTTATTCGCTACAGATGCGGGTCTGAAGTTTGTGCCCAGTTTCTGTGTTTCGCTGAAGGAGCTGAGCGTCTCGGACTGCGTAAATATTACGGATTTCGGCCTATATGAGTTGGCCAAATTGGGTGCCGCCTTGCGTTATCTGTCGGTGGCGAAATGTGAACGTGTTTCGGATGCGGGTCTGAAGGTTATAGCGCGTCGTTGCTACAAGCTGCGCTATTTAAATGCCCGCGGCTGTGAGGCGGTCAGCGATGATTCCATCACAGTGCTGGCCCGCTCCTGTCCGCGCCTGCGCGCCCTCGACATTGGCAAATGCGATGTGAGCGATGCGGGCCTGCGAGCCCTAGCCGAAAGCTGTCCGAATCTAAAGAAGCTGAGCCTGCGAAATTGTGATATGATTACGGATCGGGGCGTGCAGTGTATAGCCTATTATTGTCGGGGTCTGCAGCAGCTGAACATACAGGACTGTCAGATATCCATCGAGGGCTATCGGGCAGTGAAGAAGTATTGCAAACGTTGCATCATTGAGCACACAAATCCGGGATTTTGTTAATGCGATATAACCATACCGACCATAACAATGTCAAAGCAAAGAGGCAGGCCATATGATAAAATACATATAAACTGATATACGAGTATGAAGCGGATGTTCTAAACAATCTACACAAAGCATATTGTTAATTAGGCTATTGTTTAATTAATTGTTGTATATATTGTATAAATATGTATTGCTATTTGGTTTATATATATAATTTTTTATATGTATGTAGTTCTGCGTTGCCTTCCTAGACTAATTCCTACCCCATCCATCTTATGCGCATAATAAATTATTTCATATAAACAACTAAATCAGTTTCGGCTTGTTCAGATAATGGTACATATCTGGCATTAGCTCGGCTATATGTTTCAATATATACGATGGTCGAACATCCAACTCGTTCTGCTGTATCGCAATCCGTTTCTTCCCCACCTTCACCTTTTTCATCTGGATGGTGGCCTTCAGATCCTGCTCGACGGAGGGCGACATCCATGGTGCCTTTGGCATTGCTGGTTTTATTTTGAATTGCGGCAATTTGTTGCTTTTTAAAACTTTAATGGTATTATCCAGTTGCTTAATATCATTAATCGCTTTAAGGGTTTTGGTGTTTATGGCTTGCAGCGCCAGCTCATTACCTTTTATCTTTGTCAGATATTTTCGCATAAGTTTCGTAGACTTATTGTACGCTTCATCTGTTGTCAGTTTGCCCATTTCCCTCTTCAAGGATTGCAGCATACGATTTGTGCTTTTTGTTTTGGCCAAGCCCTTGTTTCGAACATGATGACGCGGCACATTTTCCGTTCTTTCCATCAAACGTATATCCTCCAGCAGTGTTCGTATTGTATGGGATTTTTTTTCTGGCTGCTGTGTGGCACGTTTCCGTTTCCTTGTCAGCCAGTGCTGTTTCTTTTGAAATCCAATCATTGCACCGCCCAGATGTGATAGCATTTGCCTCTTCACTTTGTAACTGTCGCCATAGTTTTGAATTTCAATTTGTAATTCCTTATGCTTGGCCACATAGTCTTCTATTTGTTGTATCAAACGCTTCCATTCGCTGACATCGCATTCGTGCTTGTTAGAAAGCAGAAGGTACTTTTGCAGCAAGTACTTGTCCATTTTTTTCCCAAAGCTGCTGCTGCCGCCAGGAAAACAAAAACGTGTTGCGCTTTAGTATATTTTTGAATTTTGAATCTGAACTGCTGCTTTTAGAACTTGGTAGTACTGGTCGCAATGCTGCCGAGCAGCGAATCAAACAGCTGTTCCACCAAAAGCAACAATGCTGCCAATTCCAATGCGTGTCAGTGCTGCCCAGCACGAAAAGCACACAGCTGTTCGGGCCTACTGTGTTTGCGTGCTCGTGTCGTGAGGTTAGAGACGTTGTATAATGTAAAACAGAGTACGAAATTTTACTGTATGCTTTTTTTGATTTAAAATCAACCCAGACGTGTAGCCAAAAACAACGCAGCAACAAATTATATCGAACCAGCAACAATGGCAAAGTACATTGCCCAAATTATTGTACTTGGCGGCCAGGCAATTGGACGCGCCTTCGCAAAGGCTCTGAAACAAGAAATTGCGGCGTCACAAGAGGCAGCGAAACGCGCCGGTGGTGGCAGACAGGGCGATAGAAGCGCCGAGTCCAATTTGCGTACGGGTAAGTTCTTCTATATATCAGGCAGAGCAGGGTGCTGAATTTATTTACAATTTAATTTGGCCAGGCATGACATTGGAGGAGGCCAAGCAAATACTGAATTTGGATGACATAAAAAACGTGGACACCATAGTCAAGAACTATGAGCACCTCTTCAATGTCAATGATCGTGCCAAGGGCGGCTCATTCTATCTGCAGTCAAAGGTTTTTCGGGCCAAGGAACGTCTCGACCATGAGCTTGAAGCCCAGCAAAAGTCTAAACCAGAAGCCGAACAGGATCCCACGCAACAGCAGAGCAGAACGCGGCAAAGGCAATGAACTGTGGCAAGCTGGCCATATACCTCAAAATGAACCCATAACTTAGCTAATAATTGATTAAATTAAGTGTTGAATAGCGCAAGACGACTGTGCTTTGCTGTAAATATGTGTGTATGTATGCCTCGATTCTTAGTGCGACAATTTCTAAGTTTTATCAGCGCTTTAGTTAGTGAATAAAACCAAGTTTTTGAAGAAGTTGCGCGATATTCGTTTTAATTTCGTTAGCCAAGCGCTGCTTAGTGCTGCCAATTATTGCACTGAAAAGACAGGGCTGTTGGAAGTTCTACAACAGCTGTCACTTGCTGGGCAGCACTCGCACAATAAATAAATAGGAAACATTTTGTGCTACGTAGTTGCTTACTTATGATAAATATTTTCACAATCGGACGTGTCTATTGTTTATAAAGGTGTGCAAATAAAAAAAAAAAAACAAATCAAACAACTAGCACATGCGCGACACCATCGACGCGAATTTCCAAACAACCACCACAACGACTTTCCACAAAAGTGGGCGGTTAGGGGCAGGGCAGGCTGTTGCGTTAAACTTATTGGATATTATTGCATTCCAGAAGAGACGCTGAACAGTATTTGAGCAAAAGGAAATCCTCTGCCAAGTCAGTGTTCAGAGGACCTTCGACGCAGGCAGCCGAAAATTCTAGTTTTGCTCGTTTGTACAGGCAGACAGAAAGAAGCAAAAAAAAAAAAAATAGAATAAATCTCAAGTGGTAATTCATAAGACCAAAAAGCCAGCGTTACGCATATACTATGATGAAAGGCGTTTCATCTGTGGCCAAGTGAAAGAAAAAAGAAATTAGTGCACAAAACAAGCGTGACCAGCCAGTATTGATTTAAAACGCCCAGCCGTGTAATAAGTGTGACAAGCCGCAAAATTGTTGTTTATATAAATTTTCACAGTGTTTAAATATTGTGTGCAAATATTGTGAGACATTTCGAATTTAATTTATTTTTATTTATTGATTTTTTCCTTGCACTTGCCCTTTTGTTTAATTCAGTACTTGCAGCGTGTACAAAAAAAGATGAAAATTCATTACAAGTTGAAAGAATTTATATAACTTCGAAAGTGAAACTTCTTTTTCTCGTGCAGGCTTAAAAGAAAACCCTATTAAAAAATTTCTGCCAAGTGTAATAAAAGTAAAGCGCAAAGGCAAAAGGAAAAGGAAAACGAAGCCAACAAAAAAGAAGAAGAAGAAGCATTTGCAGACGCAACACCACAAAAAATAGAGAGAAAAGAGAGCAAGCTCAGCTTGAGAGCGAGTGCCAGAGAGCAAGAAAGGCGCGCGTGTGTGTGGGCAACAAAAGCAACAACAACGATAACAACAACTCCAGCACCACCACCACCCACTACAACTGTCTCTATACACGACGACTACAACGACAGCGCTAATCCTTTAAAGTGCTAGTGCTGCAAAACGGCGAGCAAAGACAAAAGAAAAGACAAAAGCAACAACAAAAACAAATTGCATCAAACATCATGTTCTCGGGTCTAACAAATCAATTCACTTCTCTGGTGGGCGCCGTCAAGGGCGGCGCTGGTGATGAGGATGTACCAGCACCGCCAGGAGAAGGCGGCGCCGCAGCTCCTGCAGCGCCAGCTGAGGCAGTTATCCCCACAGTGGATCAGGATGCGGCTGCTGCTGCTGCTGCGGCAGCTGGTGGGGAGCAGCCACTAGAAGGCGAGGATGGTGCCAAAAGGTGAGTCACAACATACTTGTCTTCGGCCCACCACAAAAAAAGGTGGCCTATCTAATTGGAGATTGGCCTTCAAGGCCTTCTATTTATGGCTCTCAACTATTTTTAACCCTTTCACGGCCAGTGGACACATTCTTACAAACTAAAAAATTCATTACAGTTTCGTCGTCTGAAAAATTTGTCTTTAAATTCCGAACTACAAGTACATTTTTAATGAGATGCTAAAATTATAAAGTGAAACTCTTTGCTAGTTTACTAGTTTTAATTAAGACCCCCACAAAAATGTTAGGAAATGTCGATTTTATTTCATTTTGTATTCATTCATGGAGTATAAAATCCAAGTCTTAAGTCGATCAGTTAAAAAACTCAGATTTTTCATGCAATCTTTGGAGCTCGAAATTCCCAAAACCGCTTTTGCCGAGCTTATTACAGCTCTTCCGTTTGGGATGTGCCTCGGTCACCAATCAGTCAGTCAGAAAAAATGTTTATGGTTAATATAAACATAATAGGCCGGGGTCTGCAGCTAGAAGAATTTGAAATTGATGACATAAATGATATTGTATTCTCGTACATTTGATGTTCTTTGGAATTGTGCAATGATTTCGTTGTCTTCTTAAATATGATGTGAGATAATCGAGAGGGGATGCAAAGGAGCGGAAATATTTTTAAATAAGCTCCCGTTAAAGGCTTACAGTCTTAAAGAAGTTAAAATTGTACAAACATGTATTCTTAGCCCTCTGACTGGCATTTGGGCCACTTAGCCGACCCCTGGCTTATAATTTCTTGTCATTTAATTTAAACTAAGACCCTATCGTGCCGCAAGTGGATTTTTGCATAGCGTGTCCGCTTGACCTTGCAATTTGTACCTTTTAACATTTTGCCTTAGTTGCCCATTTTTTGTATTCTTTCTCATTCGTTGCACATTGCTATTTACATTTTTTATTTTCTATTTTTTGCTGTGCATTTCACACGAGCTTTCGTGACTGAACATAATTGCTTCAATACTGGCAGGGAGGGGCAAAGGAAGGGTGGGAAGGGGCCGATTTATTATAAAGCCAAGTTTGATTGCACCAATAATGCCATATACTAGTTTGGCTTAAATATTGAACAATTCCATGCGGCAATGGTCTAAATCGACAAAAGTATTGACTATTACAGCCAAATGGTAGCAATCAAAAGTGTTCTGTAGATTTCAGATATCGTGACCTTAATTACAAGAGTAAGCTTACAAGATTGTTTTTTATTCTGTCAGCTAAAAATTGATTTGACTGAATATTTTGTCAAATTAAGCTGTTTATCTAGGATCCGATCAATCGACTATAGAAAATACTAATGTAGCTAATATGAGGTTGTCAAGTGGCAACCAGCATTGTTGCCTAGAAAGTGATTAAAATGAATATATATTTAGATAGGATAGAATATTTAAACGCAACTATCCATAAAAAGGTCAAAACTATACAGTCAAGCTTTCAGATTAATCGTCTAGATATGTGTATATTACTTACTTATTCAACAAATAGCTCCACTTTTATTAATAGTATCAAAACAATACACTTAGACAGCTACGAATAATTTCGGTTATATATGTTCCTAAATATAGGTATATCAAAAATCTAAAAGCAGTATTTTGTATAACTTTGTAATTTGTGAAATGCTAACAGCTTTTACAATTTCGAACCATTATCTATATTCGGCATACTAAATTTATTGTATCGCTATTAAACCAGTACCAAAACGGCTTAAAACACACACTAATCAATCTATTTTTTAAAAGGCTTTTTTGAGAGTTTAAGAAAGTCTGTAAAAGTCTGTAGATTTTTATTTCCTAATAGATACTAAAGATGGTTTCTTGGTTATAAAAATATGTTTTGAATATACTTACTTATATCTAAAATATATTTCAAACATAAAAATAAACTTTTGCCAATTAATCAAATTTGTTTTCCTTCAACAAACTTGTTTTCCTAAAGATATAAAAATCTAGGAAACTGTTTTTTGGAAACATTAAATAAATCTTCCTAATTCAGACATATTTCTATAATTCTAAAAGAATGGTTTTCTAATACCAAAGTAATCTATTCTTTAAAACATATATGTTTTCTAAGCCTAGAAAAAAATGTCCAAAACTTAGAAATTCTTGTTGCTAAAGATAAAGTTTAACAACGAATTGTAATGTAAAAAATATTATATATATATATACATATGTACATATATTAATTTTAATAAAATTATTCAAAATAATGGAATTGATATTAGTAAGGTTTAATTCATTAACATTCGATTTCACCTTGATATTTTTAGCTTCGAAAAGAAAATAGTATTATTTTACACACATATGTTTTATTTATCTGTTCAAATATAATATATACTTGTATAGGCTATACGATTTGCAACTAACCAAGTAATAAAGCAGGGTGTAAAGTAAGCTTGATGAAAACAAAAAAAAAAGAATGTTTAGTACAATGTGTGCTTAGCTAAGGAGGGAATGATCTCTTCGCTCCTGCCAGATAAATACATATTTAGCTTATTCAAATTAATTTCAACATAAACATACCAAAGCCATAAATAAATTCAATTTCTAAACGACAAAGACTTACAAATACCTGCCACCTTAAGTGCTAAAGTGTGTTCGGTAATGCGAATCTGTTCAAGGAGCAAAAACTTTGTATTCACTTGAAATTAATCAACTTGTTAGCTAAAAATAAAGACAGCTTCAAACGTCAACCACTTCTGCCAATTATGTTGGACATTTAACAGAACGCATGTAAGGACATATTTCGTTCATTTAATAACAACCGTCTTTATTCTTTGTTCCGCAATAAACACTGCACTTTAAAGGTAATAACAAACAGATGACAAATATTTCCTAAAATCTATATATTTTCTATGCCACTTCAGTTAAAAAGCGGAAGCTCTTATTACAATATGGAGCATATTTTCTTGGAGAGATAATCAGAAAAAAAGACTCATCAGCATTTTCTTGTGCTTCGAAAATGCCAAAAGTTGTCGCCTCCTACAGTGAAGCACTGCCTATTTGTTAAGAGTGATAGAGAGGGATAGAGGATATGTTCCAAATTTCAATCCCTTCTGATTCCTTCCGTTCTGTTACAATGTCCAAATCCTTGAAAAGCCTGTTACCGGAGTTACCGGAGGAATTTAGTGAATGTTTTGTAGCTAACTTTGCACATGGTTCGGGCGATCTTGCAGCAAAAAGTTTTGGAATTTGAACTTTTCCCCCAATAGATATTGCTTCTAAATATTAACCGATTTTTCATTTAAATAGTCAAAAAAACGATGTTCCAAGCTGAAAAAAATTTAAGTTGTTCGGTTTTAAATGCAAGAAAAAAACAAAACAGAAGTTACCAAAATAAATGCAATGGAAAACAACAACGTGTCCGGATTTCTGAGGTGACAAAAAAAAACTTGCTGTCCAGAATTGTCTGTAGCATCGAATTTACGATCCATAGATATGCTTTTGTATAAGGTCAATGGTATTTTTGTGGAAAAACGTTTCAAGATCAATAATAATTAGTAGAATGCTATTTTTCGCCGTTGTGATGAAAATTGTCTTTCTCAATATTAAAACAATGAAAAATTGCAGGCGATTTGAGAGCAGTAGTTGAAGTGCTCGTATATATAAGTATACAGATATATGGATTTATAAATGGCCCAGCCACGGCATTACTCCATAAGCATTAGCTTCCCCAATTTAGTAACACACTTCTGATGGCTTTACAAAGCGAAACCACGCTAGTGAAGCTATAAATTGGCAAATTATATATAAAAAACTTCTCTAAGCTAGGTAAATTAATTAAAAATTTGTCTAAAATAATTTAAAGTTTCCTATACGGTTTCCGTACACGGCATGTTGCCAATTTTAATTAGCCGTGGCAGTATCAGCATGCAACGCGCATACGCCGCATTGGCAATGCCAACAATGAGCGAAACTAAAAATCTAATTATTTTCGCCAGCGAGCCAAATGACAACTTAAGCCTTGACTGACTGACTGTAAATGCCGAAATAGGTCGAAGTTGCACGTCTGCCTGCCTGCCTGCCACAAGTTGCTGCTTAATCCTTTCGACAGCAGGCTCGAATCAGTATCAACGTTTGGTTTTTTCTCCCTAACTGTCATTTTTCACTTAATTTAGCGCATTAATATTTAATTGTGTGTATGTGTGTGTGGAATTGTAATTGTAATTCCGTACCGCGCGAGTTTGTTTGCTTCGAATTCAAGCTTTAGGCACGTTCGCGCCAGCTGCTAACAGCTGCCACAATTCGCGACAAAAAACAGCGACACACGCACACATACATATGTATAAGTATGTGGACATCAGTACACATACACACATCTATGCTGTTGCCTTTTTGGCTTTCACTATCAATTGACATTGACAAGTTGGGTCGAGCGCATTTCCTTTTATACCATCGTTTTGTCTTTTGCTTTTTGCCTTTGCTTTCCTCGCATGCTTACAATTTTGCACGTGTAGCCTGCCAAGCAGCTTGTTTGCATGTATGTGTGTGCCTATGTGTGTGTGTGTGTGTGTGTGTGTGTTTGTGTGCGAGTGAGTGTGTTGCTTTATTCATAACCACAAAATGTTGAGTCATGCTGTGTGCGACCGCCTGCCGCCCACGCATTTCTCCACACTTTGCCAACGCAAAACTGTCACCAATGTCAGCCAGGGTTGCCTGTTTTGTATTATTTCTTGCCCTCCCCATTGCGGTGTGGCTTTGCGTGCCTCTCGCGCTCTCCCGCTCACTCTGTGCCTCGCTCTTTCTCACACGTCTATGATTGCAAACTTCCACTTTCCAGTCAGTGTTGCCAATTGTTCAGCATCTAAAAGCTAGTTCATCAATTTAAAGAAGCTGGATATAGCTAAATCAGTTATGCTGTTAAAATTATGAATATAATATTTATAATATAAAGAAAGTTGTTATGCTGTCCGACTCCGCAAACTGTTTAGTTTTAAAGAACAGCTTTTAGTTTTTTTTCACATTTCTTGGT